TTAATGCAATGGAGCCATTGAATAAATGATGTTCGGAGCTCTTGCTAATTTGACTGCACCAACGAAAATAAAACTATTGCATTCAACTTTCATCAAGCAATTGAATCATTATTGACATAAGTCGTGAATGGGCTGTGAACAGTTTCAACTTTGCAGATCTTACTTGCAGAAAAAGATTCAAACACAACATCAATAAAGCCATTTATTATTATTTGATTACAAGCACAGGCTTCTGTTCTCCTTGCCAAGTATTTTAGAAAAGAGAGCTCTGCATGAAGTGAACTACGGTGCTATGAACTTTTACCGTTGAGAATGAAAAGATCATTTACACGCCATATCGCTCCAGTAACCTCAACCGTTGCTCTTCGGCTGAAAGGGCCGAATACTTTTCCATGAGCTTTTCGCCGCGAGACGACGGTGTACGCATCAGGGTTGGCTGTACGTAGTTGTGGTTGAACTCGGACAGACGCCTTCGCCACTGAAATTCAAAGAAGTAAACAAATCATTCTAAAAAAGAGAGATCTTCCGCGCATCGAGATTTATCCTTCAGTTTTGACTTCACTTTTTCAAAGCGAAAATGCTTACATAATTCGATCCGCGCATTCCGATGATCGCCTCAACTCCTGCCATCATATCGTCACCACTCTGAAACATTACGATGATGCTTGGTTGTTGACTCAGCTTGCATAAAGAATTTCGCATCTTCTTTCAAGGGTCACTTTATGAAATCAAATCGTAAGATGTATATCAAGAAGTTTTTTTAGTTTGTTTACACTGAACTCTCAAAAGGGATAGAAGTGTTTTCTTAAAAAATTTCTTGTTATTGCAGATCATTTGTACAAGTCAAATAGCCGGATGCTACATATCAATGCTACTTTCTACTTCATATTGGAGCGATAATCTGAATTTGGTAGATGAAAGAGCTTAGTCAAGAAAGAACAATCACTAAATTGAGATAAACACACTTTTCTTGAATCCAGAATAGAAAAAAAAGGTTTGTTTTTCGACTATGTTTCAAAATAAGTGCGCTCTTTCCACGCCAACAAATTGATTCAGAAATGACTTATGCACCAAGACTTTCGTATGATACTTGAACTGAGATCATAACTTCCTCGTTTTTGAATTTCAGTTTTTTCGAGGCTGTTTCGTACTGACTAACATAAATTTGGTTGATAAAATAAGCAAAACCTTGCGTCGTTTATACGACTTTAAAACACTTTATTACTTTTGTGAAGGATTTGAGTTAGCTCAAAATTTATCGTATACACAAATAAATGGCCCGGACCACTATCTTTTCCTTGTTGAAGATAAAAACCCCAGTTTTTACCCTAGTACTCAAGAACTGTACATGCTCAATTTGTCACCAATGAAGACTTTCATAACTAATCCGACTAGAAAACTCACATGGGTTAAAACTTGCTGAGTTACTGTCTTCTGTTGAGGCTCCTGCGTTTTCACCTTTAGTAATCGCACCAGTGGTTTGATAGTAGTGCCCTGGAAAGCTTGGCTATCTGTTCCCATTCCTATGGACTAACAGCTCAAAAAGGATTTTGCAGTAGATAATAAACACCGTTTTCTTTTTGTAGGAGCATGTGAATGCAGTCTTGCACTGTAAACGATGTCTTTTCGCGTTTTGGAAGATGTCCAGCGAGTAAAAATTATTGGCAAGATGGCGCGCACATTAAGATTTGAAGTAACATTTTTATCTGTCTAATACACTGGAACCAAATGTTCAGAATGATTTGTCGTTTGCAGGAAAGTTCTAGTCATAAAGTTTTAGTGACGTCGATTTGAATTATTCTAGCGATATTCTAATAACATAATCTTGCTGAGAGTTCATACCTGGAAAAATACGGTAACGACGATCACAACAATAGTGGTGGTCACCAGCATGTCTTTAGCAGGGATGGCATCTTTGTCTGTACTTGATAACGATATTTAACCATAACAAGAAAGTAAGTGAAAAGGCTCACCCAGTGTCATGACCAAACCGTAGCAGATAGCTCCGCGAAGTCCACCGTAACCCATTATTACCTGATCCATAAGCCCTATCTTTTGTACTCGTTTACGATTCGCCAGCCATGTCAGAATGATGACTCCTAAAACATGTTCATCCTCAAAAATCCGCAGAAGAAACATAATCTACATATCTCGGTTGCAAGTTTGATGTAAAGCATTACCTATAAATCGACAAAATATACATGCCGTGACAGTAACGACGGCGAAGACGAGGTCCCATGTGTGGTGTTTGGAAAAAGTTGACAGACCAAGAAACACGAATATAATCGCTTCGCAACTGTAAGATAAAAATTTTCAAAACTTACTCGTTCTTTTGATAGTTTTGGGAAAAAAGTCAGTGAAGAGAATTTCTAAAGCTCAAATTACAACTT